AAACTACCCGGGCATGCAGGGCTGGTGTTGGGAAAACCAAAGCTCACTGAGGGCTGAAAGTAGCAAGGGGCATGTTAGCCAGCAAAAGCTTCTACTACTACTTTAGCAGTAAAATAATAAACAAAGAAAATACATGCCCACTGCTGAGTGAGGCAGTGACAAGTGACAGGTACTTAGCGCTGCTTTTGCCTGTCTTCAATGAAATGTTCTCCCAGAGTTAAAGGAGCAGGGGAAATATCGGTAGTGAAACAGGATGCAGCCAAGTATCTCCTGAAAAATTTCAACCCAAGCAAGTCCGTGGGACCTGATCCAAGAGTACTGAGAGAGCTGGCTGATGTTACCGTGAGGCATCTCTTTATTATCATGAAAAGGTTGTGGAGTTAGGATGTTGCAGTCTAGATGTGTGAAAAACTGGCTGGACTGTGGGCTCAAAGGGTATTAGTTAATGGAACAATATGGGAAATCATCATAAAACAGAACAGAAGGTTCCAACTTGATGTGGGAAAAAACAGTTTTAAAAATAAATTTCCAGATTTTTAGAAAAATGCAGTGAAACAAATACATTATACAACCAACAATACTTTGCAGATTACCATTTTTGTCATACTAAGTTACGGTACACTAACTCAATGCCCACAAATGTCTTCAGAACTAAGTCTTCATTATTGTGGTGCATCTAGGTGTAAGTACCAAGCTGAAAGAAATTATTTTCGGTAACACAGTTGCACTATAAGGTATTGCTTAAAATTCTTGATTATGTATCACAATATTAGCATTACCAGGAATAGATATCCTATTCTTGATTATGTAATCAAGAAAAACTTCTGAAAATAATATTCACAGTACAAACTACTTTTAATCAGCAGCTAAATACCAAGATACTGGCGCTGATTACTTCGTTGCTCTAATGACATCTGTAATGGATTCCAAGTGCTGTGCCTGATTGCTTCCCAGCTGATCAGGATTCTGTTCATCACTTCTAGCTGCTGGAATTCTGAGATTTCTTGGAGTTCTGTTGCTTCAGCTAAACAGCTACAGTGCACACTTTAAAACAGTCATCCTAAACTTTACACTTGGTACTCCATGACAAAACATATTAAGAGGAGAGAGGAAGATCTGGGGTTTTTTCCCCCCCTGTTTATTGACAGGCATTGATTATAAAGCAGTGTATCCAAAGAATTTGATAGACATTGGTCAATGGATGGTATAATATAGCTGAACTTCAGTTGATCATAGCTTTCTTCAATAACCATGCTGCAATAGTAACTGTGATACACTTTCATTAACGCTGATGTTTTCAGTTTTAATATAGCCGATGTACACAAGTGATTTAAAAGACAATGAGCCATTGAATAAGATACATGTACAAGCCAAATTCACAATTGTTAAACTTAAATCAATGTCTTGTCTCATGCCTTTTCTGATTTTTGCTTATCGAAAAAATGAATTTTTAATCCTTCATTTTGTTGAACTAACGTGATAAGGGAATTGACACAGCAATTATTCTTGGAGAGACTCCTCAGTGGAGAAGTATGAAATGATTGCAGTACCACTTTACTACAGACATGCATTATGAAGGTCTAAACACCATGGAATCATAGAATCATTTGGTTGGAAAAGACCTTTAAGATCATCAAGTCCACTGTACCTGTCCATTACTAAACAATGTGTCTAAGCACCTCACCTACCCATCTTTTAAATACCACCAGGGATGGTGACTCGACCACTTCCCTGGGTAGCCCGTTCCATCCTTGGCTAGAACAGTGAAAATACTTAAATTACTGTAGGAAAAGAAATATTACTACTGGTCTTCAATTCTGCAAACATTTATATGTTCAAATTATCTGAAAAGCTACTGGCTATAAAAATTCTTAGATTCTTTTTGCTCTTTTTCATTAATGTAGTATTGCCAAAAGATTTATTAGAATTTCAAATTTTTATTGTAACAAATAATGAAAGAGCGGGCAAATTTCAATATTACTTTTACAATTTTGAAATAGAAGTCTTTCTAAAATATTTTTAAGAGTTTAATCAGTTGCTGACAGCTTTTTACCTCATTGTGTCCTCACTTTAAGTTAGAATTGTTTGAATGGATAATGTAAAGAAGTATGAAATCTCAAGAACAGTATTAGTACTTGAATTAATGGAGAGAAACTTGTGCCATATGACAGTGGAATATAATGGCTTCTGCTTTTTATCTGAGTCATAACCGGTGCAGAAATACATAAGCAGTTCAAACACATACCCATATCAGAGAAGAAATTTAATAATTCATTCCTCCATGAGAAGGAAGACACCTCCATCTATAGAGTTTATCATGGAACGTGGCAGAAAACTTGACAATGTGACTGCAGTACTTCCAAGTTTTCCAAAAGCTTTCACTGCAAGGAATGTGGAAAGTTTTCATTTCTAACGTCAGAGGACTTCTATTTTGATAAAAGAATATGCAGGAAATAAGTTCTTGTAAGGCCAACATCTTGGCTCCTTAATGCCAACATCTTGCAATGTCTCATACAGTAACAGTTATTAACATGCCAAAACAAAGAAATTGTCAATAAGTATCTTGATAAGACATAATAAAACAGGATGTGAGTTGTGTTGCTTTAAAATATCTTTTAAGTTTCTTTAACTTTTTGTGTTTTGAAAGAGTTTCTATTCCAGAAGCTAAGTAAGTGAGAGGAAAAGGTAGGAAAAAAAAATCCTTTGAAAAACCTATTATTTCACTTCCAAAATACATTCATACAGTTTAAACTAAAATTTTGTTTCAAATTCTTTTAAAGATACAGATTTATACTTCATAGAAGGTGAATCTTTTTCTGACTCTGCATTACTGTCTCCCTTGCTGTATCACACGCCTCCCTGCCCTTCTAGGCAACTAGTCAAATCCACAGGTATCTGCACCATAGAGCGATTTATCTCTCTCATCAGTTTATACAGAAAGACAAATGGCTGACTGTAAAACTGTACTTATATGTACAATTTAACAATTATATTGTACTTATATGTTTACCAACTCATGGCACAGCAAGCCATTTGTAAAAATACAAAGGCAGTAATGAAATAAGTAATTGTTCCAGTTGAATATTCTAAAATTCCTTTTAGTAGTACATTTTCTTACTTATTTTATATAACTATATGATAACACAAGCTTACAAAGTATTAAAGAACAATCCCTTCAGTTTCTTTTGCATGTTTGTTAGCAAAATAAATATATGATCGTGTTTTGTAAAACCCTGACAGGTTTGTATTTAAAGTGTTAGGGAAGTCTGAGACATACACTGGTAAAGGGGATAATAGCGACTACAGAGATCCATTACCAGAAAAAACCATAAAACCTGCCACACACAAGACTGTTCTTTATTGTACCTGGCCATTCAGTACCCAGTAGAAGTCAGAAGACTGCTGGCTCTCTGTAGTTGGCACTTACTTTCCAGTAACAGAAAAGGCTTAAAATAACATTGTTTCAAATCAATATAGACAAAAGTACTCAGAACTCTGCATTGTTTCATGACCGTTTGAGAAATACCCAGGTGAAATGAAATTAACTTAGCTTCTTGGATTGTTTAATTTTGTGAGTGAAAGATCCTTTTCAATAGGATGTAGAACACCAATTATTTGTCCTGAATTTTCTTCCTCTTACAAGAGATACTGAAGATAACTTACTTGGAACACTTAAACTAAAAGTCCTAATTGAAATACTTATTAAAACTGCCATGGGAAGGCCAGATGATTCTTAGGAAGAGATTATTTTAGAATTCTGGGTCAAACCTCTACTTCCAAAATTAATGGAAGAACATAAACCAATAAAACAACTGCATAATGGCAGACTTCACATTATGATCAAGCTACTGAGGTTTTACATAGTAGATTCCATCAAGCTTAAATCTGTTGGTTTTTACACTTTCCCACTCTATCACTAAAATTGCGTTCTGTTCAAAAGAAAGTCTGTAGCCTATAAAAAACGTCAATCAATTTGACTTGTCAATTTGACAGCTAAGGTTTTAAAATCCACTTTGCGGGACACTGAAGGAATTAGTGAAAGGTCTCTAACATGCTCAAAACTGTCCTGCGCAAACAAGAGGTGAGAAGCAGCACCCCAGGGGCAAGCGGAGTGCAAAGCAGAGCATAGCATAAAGCACACAGGAGTCTGGATTTGCAAGCTCACTTGGTGGACTGTTGTGCTATCAGCTACATAGCTAAGGTTGGCTGCAGCTCTGCTTCTTATCAAGGCTAAGACATGTAAGACACTGTCCTTAGATCTGCTTTTGGGGCCACTTGTCAACTCGTAGCATCACTTTTTCATTAATTTCCAAGAAGACTATTTATCTTCTTAAACTAGAAAATATTACCAGTCTATTTTAAAGTTCTAACTGCCAAACTTCGTAACCCACCTTTCTAGATGGTCTGTCTTTCTTCTGCTGTACACAGAAGCACACTGATCTCCGAGTCCCACAGCAACAGGACAGAATGCTAAAACTTGAATTTGCTGACTTTTAGCATTGTAAGAATTTAAATATTGAAGCAGTTGAATTTATTAAGCATTAGAAAGCCAGAGAATTCTCTGAGCTTCACCCACTTTAGGTACTCAAAAAGCCATAGCTATTTTTGCTTCTTTTTCTTGGCATTGTTTTTCCCCAATGGCTGGATTCCCTATTTGTCTTCTCAATGCAACTTATTTAGAAGAAAGGTTTTTAATGTGTCTCCTTAAGACTTTTATTTCAAAGAAAATTTCCTCAGGCCCACTGGAAAAAAAAAAAGCAACTAACTAACAAAAGTACACCCCTAAAATGAATGATACAAGAAGTCAGATGAAGAAATCAGAATAATGTCTCAAGAATCACCTACACAGCACAATTTTTTCCCAAACAATGAAACAGTATCATATCAAATCCTATGAAATAATATTATGAAGTCAAGGAAATGGAATTAGCCTTGTTGCCAATCTGAAATATAAAGAAAAGGGACTTACAATGCCCATTCCACGCTTTTAATTGCCTTACCTGGCATTCCATGGATAAGGTCCCCACACAACACAAAGAACTTGGGTTTAGGGTTTAGTTTGTTAATGGCCTGCACTGCTTGCTCTGCTAATTTGATTTCTTCTCCCCATTCATCATCTCCATTGTTAGTGTCTCCAACTGCCCAAGCTTTCATCAGTCCAAACTGAGGATCTGCTCCTTGGATGAAGTAGAAGGGCCCCTTCCATTGGTACTCATCATCTAAGAAGAAAAAAAGAGAGAGAAAAAAACAAAGTTAAGCACTAGAAAAACTTATAAAGAGATTGCTCTTCACCTAAGTTGAGGCTGCTTTAATGAAAGTACAGAATTCTGTAGACATTCATATAGAACAAATATAAAGGCAGAAGTACAAATTTTTCCTCTAATGGGTAGCTGCAACAAATGAAAGTATATTAATCTAATTATACCACATGGTAATTACAGACTGATTAGAGGAAAAGTATGTGAAGATTTCAGCGAAGAGTGCTGGAAATTACAAGACTACAATATAGCACAAGAGTATAACGTTAGATTTCAGTTGATTCTTTTAAGACTCCAATTATTGCTTCTTTAATTAAGAAGTTAAAACATACACAACACATTTCACATTTTATGGTCCCAGTAGACTTGTCCTTAAATTATTAAGAAGTTAAGTGCTTTTTGTTCTTATACTTTTAGAGAGAAGTTGGAAGTAGCACAGTCTTTGGAGTTAGACCTGAAGCCACTCAACAGTACCAAGGTCAGCAAACACAAAATCCAGCAACATCAGAATTAGCAGCAACAATGAAAATCTTAATTTAGATTAGCCACAATAACTTCTAAGAACTAGGATAAAAAGGTGAGAACTCAGAAACCAATTTCCATTGGTAGTGAGTGCAGAGGGAGGGTACAACAGAATTTGTACCACAACAATTTTCTTGTATACTTGTTTCTCTGATACTATAACAACAAGTACCACAAAAGAAGCATGATACGTAAGACTACAAGCACATTAAGGAAAAGAATATCTCAACACTGGGCAAATAAAGCAACAGTTGGCTACAGATTACAAAAATGGGTATCCTGTTTCCTAGACTAATGTCTCAAGTTGGAATTAAAGTACAAACACAAGTACACTGTAGTTTTTCCAGCTGCCTAAATGCATTTTTTTGCAACCTGAATGTTTCATTTTTGACAGCTGTATTTGGCTTAATACATTTAGTGCTACTAGGTTTTTAAACAGCATTTAAACTGTTAAAAACTCACTGACTACATCAATCTATAGTTGAATTTAAAAAAATGATACAGCAAATTATTTCAAATTAAAATCTAACCCATATACTCACATATTATGTCAGTCTGGTCTGAAACACAGTTTGAGGCAAACCTAATCTTCCAGTAACAGTACATAAGCAAGTAGCATGTCCACCACATGGAGTTACTTTTGGTTTTCTTTCAAGTGATCTAGAACTGGAGCTTCTTACTTTGCAAGAAGGGGGGTATGTTTCTTTCAAGGAAGGTTAGAAAACTGAGGTCAGCATTCATCTCTTGTACCATGGATATGGATAGGCTAGGGTGGGGGAGAAGGAATGTGGGCAACTCCCAAAAGCTGCTTGTAATTGTCATCTGTTGCTATGGCATCAGATCATTTTGCCAAATGCAAGCTTCTACATTTTAGTTAAAGTGACATTTAATTTCTAAACAAAATTATTTATAGTCAGTTGTCTGTTAATTCATACCAACATTACCTTGTTCTAAATAATAATCACATATTTTATAGATAGAAACTTTTAGCCATTCATTAGCTTTTAGTTCTGAAATGAAATTAACTTTTCCAATTACATGACTTATTTGGAGAGGGGAAATGATCCATCTACCCATGAGTTTGCCATAGAAGCCTTACGGAACCTGCCGAATGACAAAAAGTAATTTAGGTTTTTATTTTATGTCTTGCATGGCAAAATATGACTGCCATAAAAAACAGCTCACATGCTCCATCAAAAGCATTGTTTGTGCAGAGAAATCACCTTACAGTTTTTATGAGCAGAAAGCTATAGAAAAAAACAGTTAAGGAAGCTTGCATCAGATATCCTTTCTGACCAATACAAAATAAAACTGAAAAAAGGGAAAGTCTGAAACAGGAACTTGTTTTGGAGGAGTGGCACAATCCACAAACTCATTAAGTGGAAAAAAAGCTCAAATCTTTGAACAATGTGGCAGGATTTTTAACACCTTTCCATCAACTCAGTATTGATAATCAACGCTAAGCAAAATCTACTTGTTTTGTATTGATTAATTTGAAGCCAGTAATCTTTAGCATAGTAGCCTGAATAAAATATAGTGACATTCATCTATTTTTACAGGAAATACTTAGAAGAGACAGCTAGTCTTTGTTTTAAAAAACTGTGTTTCGATTATGGCCATACTGTGTTTCCCTTTCCAGAGCCCCAGGGATGGTGTCTGGTGACTAAAGGCAGCTGGAGTACCTGGAGCAGGCCAGGTAGCTGTCAGGAAGGCTGGCACAGGCAGCAGGACTGGACCAGGTCCCAGGTAACAAGAAGCATCACATATAATACTTCAACAGAGAGAAATCTGGCAAGCAGACAATGCACTGTCAGGGAGCGTGCAGAGCTGATGCAAAACGGGTTTCAAGGCCAGACCAGGGGCTAGTCTAATATGGATAATTTTTTTTTTTTTTTGCTGCCTTGTATTCATGCCAATACAGTAGCTCTCTAGGTTTTAAGTACCTGAATGTTTCCAAGACTCTGCACAGATGCTCTGGTTTGAGTGGGTGAGTAACGGTCATGTGAGGCAGAGAGAGAGACATTGGTTAGATGAATTTGAAAAGAGAAGTTCAGTACACAGACAGAATCAGAAAGTGGCAGAAGAAAGGAGAAACAGAAGATGCAGGGGTGGAGGTGAAGAAGAGTGGGGAGAAAAGGAAAGAGATAGGAGGTGAAAAGAGAAAGGAATTGAAAATGATGCAGAGGTATATGCTATATTCTCCTGTAGGAAAGAAAAAGATAAAATGAAGAAAGCAAAGCAGGGACAAGAGAAAAGATCCAAGAATTGTGGCTATATAAATGACATTTACTTAAAATGTTAGTTTAATTAACTGGTTTTAATCAAATAATTCAGTCAACGGCTATTTTTGTGGTATTTGATAATTTATCAAATAGTTATAAAAAGTAACAGTGAGGTTGAATAAATATTTTCTACCTTTGTCTTGTTATTTGATCACTCCAACTAGAAACCCTATTTAACAAATAAACCTAGTACTTAAACCAAATTCCATTAGCTTATTACTTACCAAGTGGTACTTAGTGATTTAGTTTAGTACTTACTGCTTTTGCTCCCCACAAAGCAAAAGATTATATGTGAACAAAATAATATATGGACACTCAGTTTAAACTTACAACTTAAGTTTTTGTTTATGAGGAATGCATTTCTGTTACTATAAAGTACTGTAAATAAAAGCAGAATATCATTAAGAGAGTTGTACTGGTACAACACCACTGGTGCAAAGTTGCACCTGCTCCAACTCAAGCCTGTTCTGAATTCAGCTCATCCAGGAAATAACTCTTAATTGCCCTCCTGGCCCATCATCAGAGGAGTTCATGCAAGTTTTTCCTTATCTGTGCAAGGCATAACATCAGCCCAGCTGAAGTTCAAAGTGTTGCAGCTAGTGCAATTTGGCTAGTTTTGCTTAAAACTCCAGGAGCATGCCTGCACGAGTGCTCTTTCCACAGACCAATATGGTAAGAGGATAGCAATGAGAAACGGAATGTAAAAGCATCTTCCACTACCACTGATGGATCCAGAAGTCTTTTGCCTAACAATTAAATGATTTATCAATGGACCGTGTTTAGATAATTATTAACAAAACTTCTGTACCCTACTTCTCTCCCTCACCAGCTGCTTATTAGCACCCTCAAGCAGAACAGGTACTGTAGGCTGTGCAAATGAACCTCGTCTGCTTAAGTCAGGCACCACAAAAAATTGTTTGAACCATTTTTTTGGACTTTGCACTGAATTGCAAGAAGAGTGCTCAGACAAATCATTCTGTTGCTATGCTATGGGGATGCCAAAGTCTGGCAGAGGGTTAGTAACAAACAGCATTGGGCATAAGTGGTGGGAGGGGGAACAGCTGTTTTTGCAGTGATCATCTAGTCATGATCCAGGTCCTAGATGTTACTCCATAAGGTTTGAATTAAATAGCACGTACAGTTGCTTTCTTCCCTTCAAACGTAGCAAGCAATGGCTTTTATAGGAATGACATCAAAGGCACCCTTCTCACCAGGAGTTTCAATTTTCAAGCCTTTAGATGAGCTATGTAGTTGTATTAGACAAAGTGCATGCTATGTAAAGCAACAGAAGATTAGGATTCAATTAATAAACAAGTTTTTCTGCCTTCTCCCTTGCATCACAAAATTGAGTGGAGTCGAGAACACCTGCAAATTGGCTCTTCATCCCTACGAGCACATAGGTTGTTTGCAACTTTCTGAATTTACTACAGCAATAAAAAACCACAAATGCCAGACAAAAGTCCTATTGCAAATCTATTTTGTTCCCAGGCGTCCTTAAGAGCTGCACAGCTGATCACCACAGAAGTCCAACTTCAGAACATGTTACAGTTTCGATAGCTTCCCACTCTTTTTCTGCTCCCATGCATGCCGAAGTATGGAGAGAGGATCAATGCAATGTATTTTTAGTAGCAAAGGCTGAGAAATGGTGCCAGCTTCTAATTTTATCTAAGGATTAATTCTGTGAAGGGCCAAAGTAGTCAGCAGCATTCACAAGAGAAAACTTCAGCCATGCATTGTGATCACACACAAAAAGACACTTCAAGGACCTAGGAGGTATTTAAGACAAACCTCACAATTTCTAGAGAACAATAGCTAGTACCTTGCTGTGCCTTTATTTCTTCCCCTTTTGCTTTTCCGAATTTCTCCTCCCTTTTCTCCCTCCCTCTTCAAAGATCACAAACACACGTATAGAGATTGCTCATACTAAACCACTGCAAGCTGGCCTCTGACAACCACATACTACTGGTGGGTTTTTTTAAAAAAGTACATTGGTTTTCCTCTTCCTCTATACTCTACAGCATTTCATGGAAACAAATTAGTTATTAAAAATTACTCCTGCCCATAGTGTCTCTATAGACACTATTGTATCAGAGGAGAACAGATGTGGACACACGCCTAGTACTTGCTCAGTATACCATGAGCAGTAATAAATACAAA